CATCCTCAGCCTCCGGGCAGGGAGACGGGGCCTCCCAGAGGCCCCGGGGCAGGCAGGATCGCCTGTGCTCCTACAGCCCTGCACATCCCGTAACCCACAGCGTGCGAGCGGGGACACTCACTCCTCCGTCTCGTTCTTGATGCCCAGCCACTCGTTGATTTTCTTCTGCCGGGCACCCTTCTGCGTCAGCCACCTGGGGAAGGAGAGGCAGAGAACAGGGCTGGCAGCGCGCCTAGCCCGCAGCCTCCGGGCCGGACACTGCTCGCACCGTGATCGCCAGAGGGTGGCAGCCTTCTCCGAGGCACCGCCAGCCCCGAGGCCGCACGCTGCAGGGCTTGCCCTGGCATGCAGCAGCTCCCTGAGCCGGTCTCACAGCCCCAAAGCCCTCAAGGAGCCAGCTGGATCGCTCTCAGGTCGAGCTGGAGGGCAGCGGGGCCCTTCTCCCAGCCCATCGCGGGGGCAGGCCCTACGTACACCAAATACTGGTCCCGCAGCTTGCGCAGCTGCATGAGGTCTGGCTTGAGGCTGTTCATGCGCTTGTCGATCTCTCGGTTCTCTGAGGCCTGTTTCTTCAGGTCCTGCTCCAGCTTCATCTTGCTGTCGTGGATCTCTGTGATGCGAGACTTCAGCTTCTCCGAGTTCATGAGGATCCTGGGAGAAGGGCAGGGGTTAGGCCGTGCGCCAGGGTGCGGAGCCGGGGCGGGCAGGCAGCTCCGGCCCACAGCGCACTGCTGGAGACAGGGATCGCGCCTGCCTCGGCTCTGCCCTGTGCCTGCACGACCCATCCCAGCCCCGGGAGGGACACAGCTGCGCCCAGGCCTCACCGTTGCACCTCCTTCTCATTGCCCTCCCGCCGGAAGCGCTCGATGTACTCCTTGCTGCATTTCTCCTGCGTTTGGCACTGCTCCTCAAAGATCTTGATAGTCTCGTTGAAGGCCTCAATCGCCGTCCTCTTCATCTGCAGCTCCTGCGGAGAAGGGTGGGGAGAGCTGAGGAAGGGGCAGGATTTGGGAAGGTTTCTGCTGCGTTGCAGCCTCTCTTCCCCCCTTCCCAAAGCAGCATGGTTCTCGCTGCAGCCCAAACATCCCCCGCTTCAAAGCCCATTCTCTGCAGGGTCCCCCAAACCCAGGCACAGACAAACGGGGCAGTGGGTTCCTGACCTCTGCGCTCATCTGTGCGGACCAGCACGGCTGCAGAGACCGGGGGACAGCGGGGCAGCCCGCAAGGCCTGTGCTCCCAAGGGGAAGGCAGCGCCCACGTACCTGGGAAGTGCGCGTGTACTCCTCGTACAGCAGGTCGTACTCCCAGCTCTTGTCCTGGTACTGCTGGTGATAGACCTTCAGCTGCTCCCCCACGGCTTCCACGCTGTCCTCTTTCACCACCTGGTCCTGCCACACGCACAGCCACAGTCAGGACCTGCTCCTGCCCCACGGCAGCCCCTCTGCGAGGCAGCTGGCCCCACCAGCCCCACAGGGTATTTGCCACCCCATAAGGCGAAGTCTTAGCACAGGGAAAGTGGTGCTGCTGGACAAGGTCTGGAGCAATCTCTACAAGCTCTAGAGGAGCACTTGGTGCATAGGACCCATCTGCCAAAGGGCCAGGTATGGAGGAACAAACGCCCCCTCCACTTCCTCGTTCAGGCCAGCCCTGTCCCTGCAGCACAGGTCTCACCTGCTGGTACTTGGAGATGGGGTAGAGCAGCCTGGTGTCCAGCTTGGCGTTGTACTGGGCCAGCGACTCGTGTCGGTAATGAGTGATGAGTTCCACCACTGAGCCAAAAGTCAGGGGCTCTGAGAAGCCATACTTCCCTTCCCGGTGAAAGATCTTGATCAACTTGTTATTGCCTCCTTTCCTGCAGCGGAGGAGGGAGAGTAGAGAGCACTTACCACCATCCCAGCACCTACACATGCTACCCCAGCTGGCCACGGTGCTCTGGCCAGCACAGCCCACGCACCAGCCTGGACTTGCCCAGCACAGGGACACGTGCTGACAGCTCCACCCCGGAGCAGCAGAGGCTCTCGAGAGACCCCAGTACCCTACCTGAGTGTGAGCGTGTACTCCCCCTGGATCTTGCTGGAAGCATCACGCACCAAGAAGGTACCATCTGGTGTGTCCCGTAGCTTCTCGTTCACTTCCTCCCTGCAAGGGACAAGAGACAATTGCCACGGCCGGTGAGATGCAACCAGCTTTCCCCCCAGAGCCTAGCAGCCTGGATGGACCAGGCACCCACAGGGGTTGGCCTACGAGACACCCCCACCCCAGTCTAACGTGACAGACAGGGCATCCAGGGACACGAGCTGCACAGACATGCCTGGGCTCCGCGAGCTCCCAGGCCGCCCCCTTACCGCGAAATGTCACCCCAGTACCACTCGGCGTCCTGCAAGGGCACGCTGTTCCCATTGGCCAGGCTGGCTGCACTGGGCTTTGGCTTAGGCGGTTTTGGAGGTAAAGCTGGAAGAGAAGCAGGGTTTAAGCAGGCTTTAAGCACGGCTGGCCCAGGTCCCAGCTCCCCACCCTCGCAAAGGGCAATCCCTCGGAGCAGCGAGTACCCCTCCCTGCAGCAACTGTCCTGGGAAGCCCTGCTTGGCCGCAGCGCTGCCAGAAGCCGCTCCAGGCACATGCACAGCAACAGATTAGCGCCTCGAGCAGGCCTCCAGGCACAGCTGGGCTATACAGGAACGCCCTATGCAACCCGTTCGCAGGGGCAAACGCTCCATGCCCAGGGAGCACAAATGCCAGTGCCTCAGGCCCCGAGGAGGGGGCATCTCAGCTGCTGGTCCAGTACCTGGAGGCAACTGTTCTTGCTCCAACTCCTTTGTTTGCAGAAGTACCTCCAGAAATAGCACGGAGAAGTCAGGGCTCAGCTCGGGGCTGCAGGAAGACAGAAGCCAGTAAGATCAGCAGTTGTGGGGGAGAACTTGGCACCACTCCTGCGCCCCGTGGGCAAGGGGCAGCCAGGGGCAGCCAGGGGCAGCTGGTGCAGCCCAGCGCCCAGCCCGGCTGCCAGATTGCACATTGACAAAGAAGCAGGAGCTCTGCCCTGGCTTCAAGTTCCACCTCTGTGTGCTGCCAGCAGTTTAATCCCACGTGCAGCAAGGCAGAGACCGCGGGCAGACCTGCTGTTGTTACAGTCTGCACTCGCTGTCCTGGCAGGCAGAGCAGCCGGCACTTGGTACACGGCTAAAAGCCGAGAGCCTCACCTACCTGGCGCCAGGCAGCCGGAGGAGCAGGGGGCCGAAAATCTCCCCCAGGGCCCGAGGGTGGAGGCTGTTGCTCTCTGCCTGCAGCGATACCTTCCCCAGATGCCGGAGCAGGAACTGCAGGGTGAGCGTGTTCTGGAGCGGGACCGCAGGCGACTCCAGCACTTGCAGCAGCTGCTTCCGGCAATTCTCCGCCTGGGGGATCTCTGGGGAGAGGCAAGACACGATGGAAGGGCTGGGCTGGCCGGCACCGCTCTGCATGCTCCAGCTGCGTCACAGCGTGGGAGCCTGCCAGCAGCGGGGCTCCGCGCCGGAGCCC